GAGCAGTTCAGCATGTCCGACATCCTGAATGTAACGAGATGGCTGAGTCACAGTAATAGCTTGTAGGATTTGAGCAGCCATTGGAATTATCTCGATTGCAAGAATGTTAATGAGCTTATCACGAAGACAATCAAGAGCCAAAACAGACTGGGCATCGAGAACGACAGAGACCAACTGTAAGCCAAGAAGTCGCGAAGCCTGCGACTTGTCCTTTTTTGTCAGACAGAACGGGATAATGAACTCTTGAAAAAGATTGTCTGCCACTTGGGGTGGAAGACGAACGAATAACAGCCTTATGATAGCAAGAAGACCTGCCCTAATTGGACGATTTCCATCTCTAATTATCCCAGCAGAAATAGTGAGAAACAAAGTCTCATGCAAAGAATTACTCAATAATCGAGATACAGGAAGTTCAGAGATTAAGCCAGTGAGAAAAGCCACTGTGGAGAGGCGAGCTGCGGGCTTTTTGTGTTCAATCTGAGCAAGAAAGAAACCAACGAATTCGTGCAAATAGTCAGCTCTGTGTGAATAGTTAAACAGGAAGGCTAGTAGACAGTGTCTAGAACTGGCCCGTACCGATTCACTGGGAGAGTTAATGGCTAATTCCTTGAGCTTCTCCACTAGGCCAATGAGTCGAACACTCTTCTCGATTCCACCATGATTTTCCTCTCCTTTAAAAATTGGTGTGCTCTTTTTCTGAACTGCAGTCAACTCCTCTATCTTCTCTATAACCAGATCCTTTGCGCTTAACAAAGGAACGACAGAAGCAGTCTCGACGTCTTTTGGCTTTCTAATATCAGCCAATGCAGCAAATTGAACCTCGGTCTGCTCACGAACGACGCTGTCCCGAAGCCGCAACTGTAGAATAGCAAGAAGCAATGATAGTGCAGGTGCTACGGAGGCTTGCCGTGAGATTTCTAAATCAACAGAGTTAAAAAGACAAGCGAGCTGGGAAGATGATAGGTGATAGGATATACCAGAACCAGTGGCAGGTTGGTGGCGGAGAAATGAAGCGAGGGAGGAGAAGAGCGAGCTAGCAAAAAGTTGAGTAGCCGGATCTTTGGCAGCTGTTTTAGTTGACATAAGACCTGCGTGACTACCAAGAAGACGAAACAGCTCATCCCCAGCCCTTTGTAGCCAAGAATCGAGATCAGTTCCATTAGAGACAAGTGCTTCCTTTAAAGGAGTCAGATCTAAAAAATTCCTGATATTTGACTTCTGACTTGGTGTGCTTTGCCTGCGGGATACGAGGATGAAAATAAGATGAAGACAGCGTATAGCACAGCCCAACACACGAACGTAGCTTGTTTTTAAACATTCTAGTAGGAGAGGTAAAGTGCGACCAATAAGATGCAAATGTTCAGATTGTTTACCCGAAAGTCGGCGTAAACGAATCAACCCATAGAAAAGAACCAGGCCAAATCTAACCAAAAGATGTGACTGACTTTTAAAAATATTGCTGAGTGGGCCAGATTTTTGCAAATTCTCTTGACCGGGATCTGGCTGGATAGTGAGGTAGTCCCAACGAGGGGCAAGCAGATTTGATCGTGGACCAACCCATCCATGACCATTTGATCGATCTTGAAGATGCCCATTCATAGGTGTATCATTATCTAGATTTGTCGGAAGTAATCCCTTAAGATGAGACTTGGCCAATCGTTCTGCTTGACACGCCAGGAACAAAGGCGTTACACCGCCAACATGCCTGTCCACTAAACAGCCTCGCCGAGTTGGCAGGTGCTCAAGCACAACCTCGAGGCGAGTTAAAGCGCGTTTTCTAAAGCGCAGTGGAACGAAAAATGTTTCCGTCGAGTTTTTAGATTTGCAGGAATAATCGTCAACAGATGGAAGTCCTCTGGCAGCAGAAATAGTCACTTTCTCAAGGTTTAGGAATAGAGATTCTAATCCTTTGGGGGAAAGAAGCCGCACAAGACGAGATAACCCCTCGGGTGCTTTAAAACCACGAGCCTCTGGGAGCTCTGCTGTATTTATTCCACCGAGCTCGGTGAAACGAGCATCTTCATTAAATTCTCCTCGTCGTGGGGCAATACTCGTTGTAGATTGTCCAGCGACGCGTCGCGAATCCATCTCTTCGCCTAATTCACCAGCAGCTTCATCAAAGTAAAGCCGACTCATCAGGGCTCCCACAAAATCTAATTGTCCGGGTTCGAATCTATAATTTCCCGAATTAACGCCTATCTCCACCTCGGCTAAGCATCGATGCAACACAAAGAGACGCACTTGTTTCGCAGCATAGCCCCGACATAGTTGATGCTCCATAAGTTGAAAGATACGATCAAGGCAAATTCCTGGACCGAGCATGCGCGCAAGGCGACACAATGTTTGGCTGGCATCTCGGCGTTCTGCAACTAACGAGTTGCGATTTGGACGCAGATCCTCAATGATGCGCAGGAGTAATGTGGGCAATCGAGATTCAAGATAGCCTTTGGGGAGGCGACGCAGAAGAGCGACTAGAGATACTGCAAGGCCAATGTGAGGGTTGGATGGAGTGTTCTTGCGTATGTATGCCTCTCCGGACGTATGTGGTACTAGACGACGTCGGCTTGAAAGAAAATGTTGTAGTCGTTTGCATATGTCCAAAATGTGCGACAGAATTTCACCAGAGTTTGACATTCTCACATTATGTGTTGATGTTTTCTCAGTATCTGTATGGCAAATTAAATCTTCACTAACGTCCGAGTCATCATTATCCGAATAGTTAAGATCTCTTTCCTCACTTTCTTGTTCGGGTACATCATCTATGATCAACTCCTTGAGGTCTGAAATATCATGGAGCTCTTTATGCTCTTTTATGTCCGAACTGAAAAAGGAAGAGGTTTTAGAGAGAATTTGCGAATTTTTGAGAGCCGGCTTTGCCTGGTCCTGGCTCCAGATGGGAGACTGAAAATTATCAAGCAAGATCACCACACAACGCACAGCCAGACTAATATTTTTCGTGTCTGGGGCAGTAAGACGACATGTATAGGTCGACAATAGCTCGTGATAGCCAGGCCAAGTGAGATGAGAAGCCAGAGAACCTAAAGCTTCGATGCAATGGTCCAAAAGACGGGAACGTTGCAACTCAGTGCGCTGATCTATTCCTGAATCATTTGGACTAGACCGCAAAGCGGCGTTTAAATAGAAAAATATAATGGGTTGAATCAATCCACGAAGATGAGGCTGAGGCAATATAAATCCTGTTGCACCGGGACCCATACTAAGGGCTATAAACCTTGAAAGCCGACGCTGTGGATGAAAAGTAGCAGGATTCCGCAAAAAGAGAGCTAGGTGATGCATTGCTGCAACTTGGCGATTGAGAGTACCGCTTTCTAGACAAGAATAAAAACATTGGCTTGGCTCAGATGCGTGTGCGAGAAGAGTGAGTGGAGCAAACCAAGCTGCAGGTCCGAGCCGAGGTTGAAGGAAAGTGCGAATGAACCCTTTAAGAAGGCGGAGTATGTGTAATCGGTGTGAGCCGTAACATAGTCTTATAGCTCGAAGAAGTCCGGGCCAAAGACATGAACGAATGAGCAGGCGAAATAAGGGATCATCGTTAGTCTGAGTAGATTCCGAATTGTCGTCAATAGGAAGACGAGAAGAAACCTCCGCAAGCATGATTAGCAAATAGTCGAGACTTGCATCTCGAAGCTGGAGATCACTGTGCTCTAAATTAAAGAGCGCACTGTTCACGCCCGCAAGATGAATGAAGAAAACAAGAGAACTAGAAGCGGACGTGGAGCCACTCGGAATTGTACGGAGAATATTAGAGAGATTAGATAAATGAATAAAGGCCTCTTCGCGTTGAGTATTGTCAGGCTGATCCAAATGATTCCGATCCCATGAATTAGCCTACATTTGATACAAAAATAAATAATTACGAATTTTGATACCAAAATCCAAACATTTAATCGGCTAAT